GGCAATTCGGGGGGATACTCGTAACGAGGCATAACCAAAAAAAAGAAAGTAATCAACCAAATGAAAATATGCCTCGTTACAGTATCAATTGGAATCCGCTTTTGAGTGGTGTCTTCTAGCCATATCATTAATGCTTTTTCCATATTTTCCATTGCAACATCCCTTACGTATGTAGTTGTGCTCATACTCGTAGAAGATCCAGCTGCTACACTTTTTCTAATGGAGTCTTCATTTTTTCTTATTGTCCTTATTGTGGCTTCATTCATAGAATAAAATTTAGCAACATCTATTACTCTTTCTCCATTATGTAGACGATCCAAAATTTTAATTTTGCTTTCTAAAGATATAACTTTTCTTTTCATTTGTTTTTTTGTAATTCCTTTTGGCATGGTAAAACCCCTAAAATTTTAGTAAAATTATAAAAATGCTACAAAAACTAAAATTGTTTTTCACTAACCAGTATATATGAAGTTTTAAAAAATTCCAAATAGAAAAACACAATGATGTACAGCTTTCTGCTGCTAAAAATTTACTGCACTAAATTGTAGGGGACAAAGTTTAAAATAACTTAAAATGTTCTTTACTATTCGGATTTACTACAGGTATTTGATTCGATTTCTTGGACAAGACTCGGAGAAAGACTGGCGAGAGACTCACGAGAAACTGTCGGGGCGAGCCTCCGGTTTGCCTATCTGCCCTCGGCTGGCGCGTCTGAAAAGTTGAATAACGCGATGCCTTTTAGCGCGCCAAGATTTTGGCGCAGGCTCACCACGTTCGTCAACTATCTCGGATCTTCTCGTTTTCTCGGATCTTCTCGTTCCGGGCCGGTGCAAATTTAAAAACCGTGTAAAAGTGAAATCGTGTAAACCGAGTACCGTGTAAATCGGGGGATAGGTGTACTCTCAATGTGGACGTTTGGTTTATAAACATAATTTTTATTAACGTAAACATAATTTTAACATGGAAACAATTCTTATTAATACTGTATCGTCGAAATCTTTCCAACACGGAGAAATTTCGTGTTTCAAGGAATAGATGAATTCGATTGAGGAAGAGGGTAAATAAATATTGTTTAGTCGTAATTGAGCCTTAAAAGTCATGATCGTTTATTGGCTCGAATGATTCGAATTAGGGGAAAAAGCCTTGCGGCACAAAAAACCCCTTACAAAATTATGTATTCGTTAATGATTCTACGGTGAAAATGTGTACGAGTATGTGTGCGTTGTGTTGATTGCGTATTGATTGAGGAGAACAAAGTCTCGCTCAGCGTCATTTGATTTGCGTGATAATTCACGTTGCGTGAGATTATTCACGATGATCGATTCGAGGAGTGTAGGACTCACTCGAATCATGTATGATTTAACCACCCTACCGTGGCCTGTTCGAGGAGTGTAGGACTCATCCGAACAGTGTGTAATGTACGATTTAACCACCCTACCGTGGCCCATTCGAGGAGTGCAGGACTCACCCGAACAGTGTGCGATGTACGATTTAACCACCCTACCGTGGCCCATTCGAGGAGTGCAGGGTCTCGCTCGAATGGTGTTGTGAATGATTTCCGAACC